GAGGCAATCTGTTGTCCTATTTAACATGAGGTTCGAAAAAAGAAAGCCCCAACATGTAGTTCCGTGAGCGGTTTCAGGCTACAAGCAATAACATTTTGTGAACTCAAATCCTTAGCACTGGCAGTGTGTGTTGATAAATCCATAGAAGTAGAGTTGGTCGTGGGAACAGGAGGGATATTAAGAGATGACGAGGGCATTTGACCATGAATATGATGATCTCGAGTGTTGTCGAAGGTATGAGGGTGATTGTAACTTCCTGGTTACCTGCATTCGGACCATTAGTCTGTTGCTTTGAGTCGCACTGTTTTGCAACCGATCTCTCCTTCATGGTAGGACTTGAAGGAATGATTATTTCAGCCAATATAGGTCGGCCAGGTCATTGCAATAGGCAAGCCCAACCGTTTAGTCAAAATAGCAGCTAAGGTTGGGAATGAATTCGCAAAATAAAGATTACAAGATAATTATAAAGTTTAAGATCTTTGGAACGGCAAAGAGTGAATGCATCTCCCTCATTGAGACTGGTTCTGAGCTTTGTCACTCAATATTTCCAATAATGGGTTTCAGAAATCGTGTGAACTCCAACCTGGTAGTTTAAACTTACCAACATGACTCAATAAATCAGTCAACAACTACATGGAGTGATGCCATGTTTTGGTTTGAGCTTTCTTCCAACGTACTTTGGGTGTTGGTTGTTTGGCGGTTGTTTGGTAGACGCAATACATGTCCCAAATACCTCGGCTAATAAAAACTTGTTACTTCATCAACCTGTTTATCCTCTTTACTTAGTGTTTTTCGCCTGATCTTAACACACCTTTGATTATCCTAACTTACACAAGCAATGGCAAGACTGTCTTTTTAATTAAGTTCCATGAGTGTAATGAAGTGTAAGCGGGAGGAGCATCCAAACAATTAAATGTTAGGGTGAAGTGACACAAATAATATTTGAAATATGTTCCTGAATCTTTAGAAGAACTCAAGAAGCTTTAGAATACTTCAGTGATAACACTACACACATTAGAAACAAGACATGATATCAACTTTGAAGCAATAAAATTGCTTCAGAAAGGTTTTGAGGTTCATAAAAAGAAACTAAGCTTGGAATATACGGACGAACCACTAATGACACCACGGTCCTTCTTGCATATAATTATATGAAACATGGTTCACAACGAAACTATTGGTAGTCATTTACAACGAAATGGTAATATCTTCACCACTTTTGTCACTGTAGGTAACTCAAGTAGTGAATGTTCTACATAAATTAATCATAATCTTCCATATGATTTTTCACAATTATAAATTTGAATTAAGAGCTAAACCGTAGGAAAACGTTATTCTGCTACGATTTTGCTCTTTATTCAGATTGATAATTGGCTGTTTATCTTGAGTGATAGACACTGAAGGACATTTTACAATTTTCATATATACATCCATTTGTCTACTTCATGCGGCTTTTATAATATTATTTACTGTCTGTCTACTTCTATTGAGTTCTTTTATTTATTTATCTGCCCACTATTTATAAATTTGTTGGTAACATTATTAAACGTTTATTAATCGTCCAAATACACCCTGACTGTTTTATGGGACTCAGGATTTCGCTACCAGTAAGTACCAATCAGTGACTTATACATAATTCTCTGACAAGCACTTAGTTTTTCTCTATTGTGTATGAATTTTAACCAGTTAACTGAATTCGATCGATTACCAAGTTTTATTTTGAAGCTTAAAATAAGTATTTCAAGTAGGGATTATCCAAAGTAAATATTATATCAATAATTTAGGAGTATTTCTGTTTATTATTAGAATTTTTCTATCCCTTTCTTTCGGGGTTAGTTCTTTTGTATCGATTTTTGATTAATGTCTCTATGCTTATATTGTCTTAAATGTGTCATTTAGGATGAAAGGATGGATAGTATTTCCTACTGTGCCTTTATTTAAAATATATTCAATCTGTCAGTCAGAATGCCACTTATTTTCTCGTTCATCCATTCATCCCTTTTTTCTATTTTATGCCTATTTGTAATCTTTCTGTTTTAATTTTCTCTCTTGCCAAAACATAAATAAATATTGGAGGAAAATTTTTACGTGACGACTTCGTTTGCAAACGAGCGATTTTTCAATTCAAATTTCTCATTGATCTAGGAGGAAATTAGGAAATTTCTCGAACTTATGTGATTGGCCTGTTTTTTTCTCTCCCGTTATACTAGGTCATTTTGTGATTTGCCAAGATAAATATAGTTTAGAGCATTTCTATTTGCCTACCTTCAGTAATGATTTATTTTCTGTAATGTGATAATATTATGTTTAAAAATGTATTCCAATCTTGCTCAAGTTTGTGGCATGCAATGTGGTATTATCCCTTATGCATTTATATTGTAAGAAAATCAGAAAAAGTGTGAAGCACCAATTTTTCTCTTAGGCTCGGGTTTATGGTGGAATTAAAACCTAAAAAATCTCCGTAAAACTGTTAAAAATACCAGAAATAACTAGCTTGTCTTTAGCTTTTCCTTATATTCGCTTGTCGATATACCCGTTAAGTATGATCGATATTTTTGGATGTATTGTTTTCCATATCTTTTTTACGTGAAAATTTTTCTTCAGAAAGGTAAAAAGTGCTGACAGAAGAACCTCAATCGATGACATTATAAGATGACTTTGTTAATGCTATGATGGCACTGTTAAATTATTTACTAACAAAAACCAACGTAGACTTTTAGATAGTTGTGCGGTGTGTGCTACTGATGTCGACAGATGTAAGTAGTATGTACCATCAATTGAAAGGGAAATGTTTGGCAGCAGAAGGTTAAGAAGATCGAAGAGAATGAGAACAAAAAATGATTGGTATGGAAATGAAGAAACAATAAAGTCTGAGACAATTGATGGACATTTTCCCAAATGAAGTATTCACTGTATGGTTCTCAGATTTTAATAAGAGATTCTGTAATTTTCTATTCAAATACATTTAGTTGTTCTCGTTCATTACAGTTGAGTTGGAAAAAAGAATAATGTAATCGTAAATTATCAGTATTGTCTTTCACTTGCTTGATTGATAGTGACCAGTGGGTCTCAGCATCTTTCATACAGTAAGAAACATACCGAGTGAATGTTGATCGAACAAATAAATAACTCAAGTGATAAAGTAAATCAATAATCAAAGAACCAAAACAGTTGGTTTATCCCACTTAAGAGGCATAAAACTGTAACTTCCGAGAAGTGAATGATTACCAACGTAAACAAAATGATAATTAGACGGTTGCTTTCAATTGAATTAAACCTATTATTGTTTAATAGACATTATGCTAAATAGGATGACTTAATTGCATGCTGTGTAAAAAAAATTCTCAACAGCTAAAGGTAGTGTTACTCAGTAAGCATCCAGTAAAGTATTTTTATCCGGTTTTTCAATCACGCTATTTCGAAATCAAAAATTAAAGTCTATATAACATCCACAACGAGGTGTTATGTCGTTTAATTTATTGGTATAATAATTCTAATCGACACAACAGAGGAACTATTGTTGTCATTTCGTTAGCAAAAGTGGATAAATCATAAAATGCTAACTTTGAGACTGTGGTAAAATTGATACTGTACATGTCATTTAGTTTATATAAACAAAGAAACTGACTAACACATTAGCCTCCATGAAAGAAATATTGGATGGCATTCAAGTGCTTGTATGTTTTTAATAACCAAAATCAGTTTTAAAGAATACACCCATAAATTCCCTTCTTAGAAAAAAAGTTCGGGAATATTTTCAGTGTCACACGGTATAACACAAATCTACACTGTTTTAGGCCATAAAATACAGAGCTTGCTGCATAACTACTACAGTGTTATGCTGGTACCAGATTTTATAATTGTTAAGTATCAGTTTCTATCATCAAGACGATAACCTTACTAAAATAAATCAATCATACACGTCAAAAGATTGCGTACTACTTCTATATTGAGTAATTGAAAATCGTAAAATTGAATGTATCGTTCATTCCAGATTGTTATTGGCGAATAAAGTAAATAATCGTTAATTGTTTTGCGACCTTTATTTTCATCTTTAATTAGTCTCATGGGTGAAATTAAAGTCAAAGTATAAGACCACTTATTTGTAAAGAATTGTGCTAACTGATTTTTCAGTTTTCTGGCTTCTTAGTTCCTTAAAGTTACTGAAGTTATTTATTATTCTAATATTGGATTAGGTGTAAATAAGTTAATTGCATCACAAGACCTTAGTACCTTTTGTAGCGTTAATATATCGTGTCCCAGACAGATCTGTTACTGTTCATGGGCCTAGTGTATACAGCAATCAGTTCAAAGAATATATCTGAAGTAGTTTAGTTTGGGTTAGTATATCTGCTGTACCAAATAAATAGTCTTGTGATAAGATTACGAAAATTTATCTAAAGGACATTTACGATACTCTCTAATGGTTCCTACTTCGAATATCACAGTTTGCATAAAATTATTCACTTGAGCATTCTTGGTAGTATACATTTTATTATAGTCTGTGGTAAATGCTGTTATGTACCAAGTACATAATAAAGAATAATTCTAAAATAAAATGTGTTTATTTGCTTTAAATTCTATGGTTTTGTTCCACAAAGTTGTACGTACTCTCTACTAGTCTCTGTCGTGAGAAATTCCTTTCCAAACTTGTAACTCGTGCTTTGTTAATACACCACACCTATTTGCGAAATGGGAGTCGTGTAATTTAAAAAATGAATCAGATCATAATGACTTCTAGTTTTATTTTACTTTTTTGACAATTACTTCAGTTTTAAGATCAGAATTTTTACGTATGGAATATAAAATTAATCCGGTTTGAATAACTAAAGATTCCACTTTTAAGATCACAGTAATATTTTTTGCTAATCTATGCGATAAACTATGTTAATTATTTCATCTTAACATCTAATTAATATCTGCATACATTGCTATAGTTTTTTCTGACTGTTTGTTTCCTTCAAGTGCCTAATTATAAACATACTTTTTTCATTTTATAGGAAGCTTATAGAAGTTGGTTTTGTGCAACAGAATTCCCACTGTATTATCCACTTGATGACGCAGATGTAAGTATACCTTTACACTCGAAATCTCTGGATTCCGATATAACTGACGTCGAAGTTAATCGAATTCATGTTCCCGTCACAATTTCAAATTTATCGACCAGTTCCAAAATGCCTCGTCCTCAGAAGAGTAGTTACTTCTTAAATAGATCATCACCGACACAACCATTTGATCTATCTGTTGTAGAATCTATGTCAAAACCCAGGAATATATATCGAAAATCTAACCCCACAGAATTCCAGTTAGATTCTCATTTACTTTTTCGACTGGAAGTTGTACAACCCTGCATTTCATGGTGTACTCAGGTTGAGACTGTTTGCCCATATTTAAATCCCGCTGATCCTACCTCAAACGGTGGTGAACCTGCATTTTTGTGCGATGGTAAGTACATATTTGTTTATAGTATTTATGCTTACTAATAATTATTCTTTTCACCTATGTTAAAATATGTTCACTCTTTTTATGTTTGTTACTGGGTTTAAAAGCCTTCATCCTATCACTATTTCATAACGTCTACCATGAAAGCATTTTCTATTGGTTCCACATAGTGGTAACCGTTTCCTGCAGAATTTAAGTGGTATAATAGACGACCCAATACATAGGTATTGAGTGCCCATTTGTTTAAGTTGGGAAACCCTAGTTTTAAACTAATTGTTCACCCAAAACCTTGGATATGGATAGTATTGATGACTAGTAAATCTATATTATTTGATACTATTAGGGTATAACTCCTAACATAGTCCGGTCATCTTTCAGACTGTGACAAAATTTGTAGATATTTTTGCCATTCATGTGGTCTGAAAGCCTGTGTATTATCAAAAGTCATTAAATATCACCTACTCAAATCCATTTACAGTACAATTTTTGCTTCTCTTTTCTTAGTTTTGGTCCGTATCTTCAACTAATTCTACATTATTAACAGTTTACTTATTACCTGTTATTTAAGAATTCACTTACATTTTGACTACTGAGTTCTTTGCGATTAGAAATGTGGTTCCTATTTGTCCATTTTTATTCACTCTCTATGATATGAAGATGTTGTTGATTTCATATTGTTTCATCAACTATAAATGTTAATAACCCTAGTCAACTTTCCTATGCATACTCATATTTTTGTTAGATAGATCGATAAAATTCATTATTGCATGTTATGTAAAAGTTTTGATTCAATAAAAACAACTAGCCGAATAGTACAAAGGTTTAGTTACAGAGTAAGTAATAACTTTATTTTACGGAATATATTTTTGTATTAGAAACAGTAAGATGTAGGTAAATTTCGTATTATCAAATTCAGAGCTTTTAAATACTTAATTTAGAAGGATTGTATTAATTCTAGATATAATGATACAATATTGTGATCAGCGGATAATAAAACATATGTATATTCATTGTTTCCCTCTTTTCTAAACAGCTTACACGTTTATTTATCACTCTTAGTCTGTTTTCTTTATTTTCTGAGACCTAGAACTTCTTCCAGCATTCAGTCTTCTGTCTTTTTTGTTTCCATAAGGTTTCCATAATTGAGATGTCGTTGTCGAATAATCTCCTTGTCCACATTAGATGTTTCCGCTCATTAGTAGTGCTTTCTTAACATTATTAGCACCCGTAATCAAAAAACATTCTCAATACCTATTCAAATATTTTGATTAATTTGATAATTGCCTGTTTAGTTATTTCGTTCTTCATATGGTAATGTATGTACAAGGTATGCATCATGAGTCAGTCACGAGGTATTTCTGAAATTTCGTTATTCTTGTGTCCCACTTGATGATTCCGAGTTACAGTCATTTAACACAGCCTAACAGTTCTATGTTCAACTTTTGTGAACCTCTTTACGTCGACAGCAATTTTTTACAACTCAGTTTCTAATCAACTTCCTGTGTTAATATAAATGTTTTGTTCTTGTTTGCGCTTATATTATATTCACTTTCGTATTCTTTCACCAAATAGTGTTTAAAACCGTGGCATCCTAAAACAATACCCTATCTCTCGCTACAATGTTTAGGTTTCCTACGTGTTGTTTATAATCCCCTTAAATTATTTGAAACAATTCACTGAAAGTTCCTGTTTATTGAATGAAATTTTTAAATTAAAAGCAGCTTATTTTTGTTTATCGGGAGTAATAGTTTAGACCAGCTCTCCATTATTTATTGATCAAGTGTATAGTTGCATCTTTAGCGATTCATCTGTGATCATCAATACTCTTTTCTTTTGTTGTACTCTGAAATACTCATATATATATATATATATATATATATATATATATATATATATATATATATATATCACTGCTTGTTTATTGTTTGGGCCTTCCTCTTCTAATCCCTTTTGTCCTCCATAACTAAGTAAATAAAAGCTCATTGATTTTTTTTTCGCTTTTCGTCCTCTTCATCTGTTTTCTATCTGTTAATTCGTTATCTGTTAATATATAGGCAAAAATTATTGTATATTTCATCAAACTAAATAAGATTAGTTTTTAATGATAGCTAATTAATGATATTATATCTTCCTCACATCCATATATGTACATTATGCATTTGTTTTTCCATGACTACGAAATGAATAACTTTAATTTGGTCTCATTATACTCACTATTAGTTATTACTTATCACCATTATTATTATTATTATCTTATCTCTTAATGGAGAATATTGTTGTTGTCTTCAAGTCTTAGAATTATATCTAAGTAAATATTTCCAATTTCTTCTTATTCATTTGTACTGATAATAATAATAATAGTATAAATAATGTGTCTTTCTGTTTATGTAAAATATCATAACAAAGAGGCTCATTCATTACTTGAAGCTTAAGCGATGAAATGAATATGTTTGAATAGTTTATCCAGCAACCTTATAGTTTTCTACTTTATTCGAATCGCACCTCATACTGAACATATATTCCGAATACACTGAACAGCGTATTACTTCAAATAATAATCTTTGGATTTTAATTGGTACTTTCCTAGACATTTATAAATGGCGGAAGAGATAATAACTAAAATATATAAAATCCTAAAGTAAACATATAATTATTAGCTTTAACCATATTATCTACTTGACTTCTAATATTTAAGCTCATTTGTAGTCTTTATTCGCGGATTTGTAGCATTTCACCATGGCTATACACTAATAATAAATATATTTTTTAATACCCCAATGAGTAGAAAAATTGTGCTTCTGACGTTTCGTAACTTGATGTAAGGCACTTCTCCAGAGTAAATAAACAACCAAATTAAATTAACACAAGTTTAAATGGTACAATTTTCCTACCTATTGGGATATAACAAAAACATATTTGAAACTATTAAGTTCAACGTTGGTATTGATACATATAGCTATCCACTATTAACGATCTCAACCCCATTGAAGGACATCCATAGATCTTGTGTATGGATCCGTGAACTAAAATTCTAGAATTTCGGTTAGCTAGACCTGTTGCCCGATTAGATGTACGACTTAAATACGAAAGGATGCAAATAATAGATAAATGCACAGTCCTTATGAACTGTGTATAACATTTCATAAGCTTAATTTGTTTGCATGTGTTGAAAAAATCAACACTAGTTTGGAGGGTCAATTACAAAAACTAAATAAGATCTAAAAAAAGAGGACAGTGTGGTTGCGAGTAATTATAAAAGTCACGCGAATAATCAACCCTTCCCGGTCAGCATTATCGACTGAGCGCATAGGCACCCAAAACGTCAGCTTATGTTCCTAGTGTGGGAAAAGTCCGAGTAATGTGACTAGCTGATCTTCAACCAATCGTTGGCGGCGGGCAAATTCAGAAGGTGCTAGAAGCTACACATTCAATTTACATAAGACATTTGTGTTTTTACCACTATACTTTTGTCCCGACTTTTCTTTGAAATATATTTTGTTTTTAATCTTGTCAGGTCGAGCAAAGTTCACTGTTCGGAAATTTGTAAATAGGGAAGTACATATAAGCGTCATAGAAGGATGAACATTTCAAAAAGTGATATCCTGATGCTGAATGCAAACATCTAAGTGACAGAGAAATAAACGGTATTAGAAAACTAGGAATTGTTTATCGACTAAACACTCAATTGATAATCATACAAAACTCGAATAATATCAATAAACCGAACTATTAGTCATTATTTTGTTAGTTTTGGTTTAATGAATACTTGTTTGTATATCACTTAGTTAACATAAATTATGCATTAATATGATTTTTTTTATTACCAATATTGAAATTAAAGTAACTATATTTCACAGTAGTTGAACAATCACTTGTGCACCAGTAGCTCTTTAAACTAAGATTTTCATAACTTTTTTAATCCTTGTTTTTATTACAAAAAACTATGATTGCTTTGTCAAAATGACATTAAATATAAATTTATAGTTGATTAACAAACAGATTTTGTATAGATTATTCTTATATCTCCTGAAATATATATTTGCAATGTTTAGAATTCTTTTCTATAACTTTGACGTGTAAACTCTCACACTATGGAATTAAGTAGGTATATAACTCTTTACGTAGTTATGTGCTAAAGTTATATTGTACTAATGATTCCGTTAGAATGGTCAAATTAACATGAGATAGTACTTTTTTTAAATGTAACTATATAAACTTGAATTACCTATGATTGAGACTACTAAAGAAGAGAACAAAAAAACTACTTTATCTTTAGTTCTCAATACACTTAAACAAAATAGATAGAGAGATAGAAAAAAGAGCAGACAAATCAAAGTAGTCAGAAAGATTGGAGTCTTAAAATAAGATTGGTTCAGCGAATAATTCCTTTTTTGGCGAATTCATTTTCAAGGTTGTACAATCGCAAATATATACACTTATTTTATCAGGATGATGATAATTACAATAATAACAATAGTAGTGATAATAAAATTCTGTTAAACATGGTAACCGTGAAGTAGTATAAACAAAGGTATTAAAACATTATTTTCTATCAGGGAAACTAATAGTCTTATTGTTAAGGCCTTGCATATTCATCATGAAGATAAATGCGGAAATTATAACTGGGAATGGATGGCTCAGTATGATAAAATAAAATTTCGAAATGAAATGTAATCAGGAGGATCATGGATCAAAGTTTATATGCATAGAAAAACAAATCGGTTTTCGGTAATATATGTGTATATCATCAATTGTATTTTCATTTGTTTATAATAATGAAATTCAATGTCTTATTTGACCATTTAATGAACTTGGCAAATCTTTTACGTTTAATATTTCATTCACTTGAATGTTATTATTTTTTTTGTCATTAAACCTACTATTCTTTATCTAATTAAATAAGAACTAATAATGAAGACTGATTATGTATATTATTCATGTTTATTTGAAAATCGTTATCAAAAAAAATTAATGAACTCATTTTATCGGAGAGTAATCAGTAGTGATATGGCCAGACCTCGTTATATATATATATATATATATATATATATATATATATATATATATATATATATATATATATATATATACATATAATTTTCAATTGACATAATTAATTAACTTTCTTATTTAGCTTTCTACCGATTGTTTTGACCTACTTATGAGAATTTATGTAGAAAATAAACACTGAGTTACAAGTGTATATATATAACGTTTTCTTAGATGGTTGTTAGATTTTACAAAATGGATTAATTTAATTCGATAATAAATAAAAAAAAATGTTGCATTCCACTTTTTGGTAACTTTAATAGAAAAAAAATTAAAAGATTACTCAAATGTATTGGGTTTTTTTAAAGAATCTTTTAGCTAACTTTAGTATAGCAAATTATGAATTCGAATGAATGAAATGGTTTTACGCTTAATGTTGTTTATCATTCCCTTACCTGCTTGAATACGGGTATTTTGTCAAGTTTCTTATTACTCACAAAATTTAATTAGTACGCTTTTTAATAAAGAGTTAACGGTTAATACAGCCTAAATAAACAATTGATTTTACGTTATATTTAATTGTTTAATTAAATACTGTAAATTTACTATATATTCTTAAGTGCTTTCTAGACTTTGATGAATATTGCCTTTTCTTTTAACAGACATATGAGCGAAAAAAATTTATAAAAGCTGTTCCAGATCATGTTTTTATTCTCTAACTCCAAAGCAATAAAATTCTTTCTACCCATGATATGAAATGATGAGAACAACATAAAAATCAAATTGGCAAATAGTATAATAAAATAGGTTAAGAGGTAAACTTGGTAAAGAAAACTAGTTATAGAGTATTAAGACACAAAATATGATAAATAATTAACCCAGCTTTTACAATGTAATTAATAAGTTATATCATTAATTGTCTTAACTACCAATATCTACTATAATTCAGGTAGTTTTCTTTATGACTAAGATCATTATTTCCTGTTTTTATCAAGTATTTGTTTACCTTCATGCTGTCATCTTGTGTTTTCCTCTCATCATTAAAATTTTACACTCGACAATTCCATTTTACACGAAAAAAACATTAGTTAAGCACATAATTCTCCCACCACCACGTACCTTTGATGTTGAATTGTCAAAGTTAGTGCTAAGAAATAAATTATTGTATTTATTCCTTTTTTTGTGGGTTTACAAATACCTAACCGTTAACATAGTTACGTTGGTTACAAATGATATCTCAGCCTTTTGTATCCGGGCTTAAATCCCATTATCTCCCCGTACGTTGATACGACTCCGAACAGAAAAAAAGTGGTTTGATACTTGTGAACATATCATTTTCCATAGTCCAATCAGTTTGAAGTCACACTTTTTGTTTATATTAGTTCCAAACCCCTCCCAGAACATGTACTTTTATGTATATTCCTTTGTTAAACATGTTCAAGCCGCCATATTTCTGTCTTCTTTTAGCCATACATCGTACCGATTCTAGTAGTTTATGACTAATTAAACTCTAATAATAATCGTCTCTTTTCTATCTTTCGCTAAATGGTAATGAAGCGTAAGATGGTAGAAAAAATGTTCAAAATCTGCATTTAAATATGTGTATGAAATATTATTCTAACTCACGTCGATTGATTTTTTTCTTGGATCCAATCGCTTTTTTATTGTTGAAAAATTCACGTAAAAATGTTTAAAGAGTATTTCCAAATTCAATCACTACTATTCGGTACTTTCTTCGTTATTCTGGTATGAAAAATAACAGATTCATATTGATTACCCTTAAATATGAACTACTCACTCTTGTTTATCTTCTAATATAAAGTCAATTAATTTTCCTTTTATATATTTATTCTAAATTCATACTTTTGTCCAATCATTTTATATTGGCTAGCGTTTTAAATGTATCATTACCCTTTTGTAATTATGATATACAGACTTGTGTTGTGTTAATTACTACAATGAATATTGTTCATTTTTCACGAAGTTGTACCATTATTGTAAATATTAGTGATTTTCTGCAAGGTCACATGTACCTCATTATGGTGAATCAATATATATATATATATATATATATATATATATATATATATATATATATATATATATATATATATATATATATATATACCATTTTTCTGGTGAACCTCATTTCTTTTCGATTACTTTCCTTCATACACTCAGAAATTTTAGTGATCGGTAAACCAGTATAATGTCATACTGTAATGACAGTAGACCGATGGATACGTTAAGTGTATAAATTTTGATAATCTCTCAGTTCGGTCAGTATAACTTTCAGTGAATTATATTCTTTATTTTAACCATATATCAAAGATTTCTAGTTTTTTAAACTTTTATATTTCTCTTATTAGTAATGAAACGCATATGCTATTTCATAAAAAAACCTAGAAATGATTTTAAAGCTTGAGGCTTCCTATTACACAGAAATAGAGGATTAGCTTGAAAAACAGCATTTTCGACGTCATTATATTTGTGTACTTTTTGTTTAAAGGGAACATGGTTTGCTGTGAAGCAAAATTGGGAAGTGTGTATTAAGATAAATTCTCATATACTTTACCTCCTCATAAGGTTTCAAATATATCTAAATTTTACACAATTACTTTTTTAACATTTTCAGATATACTTATTAGTGTGTAAATCAATGAATTCAGATCTGTTTATAATACAAATGATAAATTTGAAGGTCGTTACTGCCTATATAATGAGGTTTTGTTTGCATGACCACGGGAGTTTCATGCATACAGTTTTTTTTGCTACTTCATCTACTGTGTCAAAGATTCAATAAACTGTTTTAACTTATTGGTAGTGCAATACCTTGGTTCTTTAAGATATTTATATAGGAAATGTATTAGTATATACACTATTTGCATCTTTAAAACCGTTGGAATAAATAATCTTCAATCGCCTATAAGTAGTGTAACAATCCAATACCCACTGAACAATTTAGTAGAATTATATAAATGTAAATATAGAATCATTCATCTAAACAAGTTAAGAATAACAATAGTTCCAGAATAAGACGGATTCACCGTATTTTGTTCCTTTGTCTTCAGTTACATACAGGCTAATAGGTTTACTTTGTTTTAAATATTAATATTTTTGTGAAATAAATCTATGATTTGTTTATCAAAGAACAGGGGATTGTTTGAAAGATAAAATGAATTCGAAATTTGAGATTATTAATAGAGTATGTATGACTAGGTTAAATTATTCATAAATATTATGTTATATATAGTTAATCATAGATAACATAGAACCTAGCAACATGTGCAAGAATCCAGATTGTTATACCACATTGTACAGCAAATTAACATCATCTTGATGAATTATCAAATTTATCTATTTGCATACTTGTTCGTTAAATTTATTTATTGTATCTAATATTACTGGATTGATCCTCTTTGTTAACTTATCCTTTCGTTTTCTGTTACAATATTATGCCTAACTCACTTTTACTGAAACAGCTAGACGTAATATTCGATAATTGAAGTGAAGCCAAGACTTAATTAAATGAGTCAATTGATATATATCATCGGATCAGTAACGTGAAGTCTGTTAATTTAAATCCAGCCGTAACTTATATTTTCTTTCAACTTATATCATCACTCCTGTCTACAAAAAGGAGTATTTTATGTCTTTACGTGGTATCCTAGCTCATGATGCAATTTTCCCATGAAATTATTATTATTTTCAAATATTTTTACTCACTTACTGTAAAAACGTTCTTTTTAACACTAACTTAATCATTATTTGTTCTTCATTCTGTTTTATTATAATATAGAAAGTCATTACCATCACAGTTCAAGATATCAAGCAGTTTACTGGGATGTGAATACTTGTGAGTCTGAGTGTTGTTTTGGTGTGTCAGACTCAATTCTTCTTTCTGTATCCATTCCCGATAAGAAACAGTATTCTACTCCAACTGATTTTCTTTTATCATATTCATCTGATGTTGAGGAATCTAACGATAATGACTCATGTAGTCATTTACGTGATCGCTGCCTTCATCGACTTTTATCAGTGCATCATTCATCATTGATATCAGAATTTTCATCTGTTGTTCCAGATCAAACATCATCAATATATTTCAATTATGATTTCAATCAATCTAATAGAATTAATTCCAAGAATTTCAGTAGCTACCATTCATTATCTCCTGCTCTACATAAAATAGATAGCATTTCTTTTAAAATTATGCTTACGATATCGTTCACTTTTCATTTTTTCATTTGGTTACATAACATTCAAGTTTTATTACTTCAAAATTTCACTTCGATTTTTATTTTTTTGCGTTATCATCATGTGACGATGACGATTATGAATACTCCTCCAACAAACAGTAATGATGATAATACTACTGATGAAAATACACATTATGTATCAAGTTCCTTGAGTCATCCGCCAACTTCTTTAGTATCACACCCATCACTCTCTTTGTCTCATTTTACAAAACATTCAACTCCATGTTGACCATCGTAACAACAATTTCTCGATTTATCTTATAATGTGATAGATTATTATTATCACTATTACTAATAGGTAACCTTTTTATCTCTATATTTTATAATAAACAAAGTGAGTAATATGTTTAAATCTTTATTTATTCATTTATTTCTATACTTTCATTGCTGTTGACTTTAGTTTCTATTGTTTTGATTAGTGGTGTTAGTAAGAATACTTTTTACCAATAATAATATCATGCGAAATATGTCGATTTAGTTAGGTTTTACTTCTAATTTCGACACTTAGTCAGAGAATGAAATTATTTACTGTGAGCATATATATATATATACATTTGTTCTGTCCCTTTTTTCTGCACCTTTCTTCTTTGTTTTTTTTTCGTTTCACATCCTTAAATTTGTATCAGTAAGCAAAGATATACTTACAAGAGTGTCGTAGTTTACATCTTCAAGTCAACGATAATGTATCTCCTTATAAATTGACATTTATTGATTTCCTTTGTTAGTCACTGCTAGTTCTCAAGAGCATAATCTATTTATTTCTTCCAGGCTGTTTACTTCCTTTTTCTCACTTTTCACCAGTCACGAAATCATCTTGTTCTCTTGTCTTATTTTTTTAAGCTTTTTCTGTATAAAAAACAAAGGAAAAAGACAATTAAAACTCGTCAAAAATTAAGAAGAGATGTATGGGAGGATGTTATGAGTTTGTTATTATTATTAGTAGTATTAGTAATGGTAGCAGTAGTAGTATTATCGTTAACTATTTTAATCCGCTATAAATAGATGGCATATAAACAATGTAGATTATTAGTCAGTTGTACAATTAAAACCATTTGATTTTTGTCTTTTTCTTTCAATCTTCCTAAATCAAATTATGTTTACATACACACGCATGTACTGGGTATAATCATTATTTTGTTGTTCATAGTGTTGTTTGGAGGTGGAGAATGAGTGTTCACTTCTGGTTTTTCGATTATTAGACAGGTTACGCATTTTCTCGTTACTGGAATTCATTTGATGAATATATATATATATATATATATATATATATATATATATATATATATATATATATATATATATATATATATATATATATGATTGTGTAAATTACCATTTCTTAGTCAAAGATTATTTTGTTTCTTATTGTGTATATTTCAATTGCTAGAAGAGTGGCTTCTCGATCCTATTCGATTTGTTGTTAATCTTTATTATTGCTAGTTGTGATTAATGTTTGTTGTTAGATACTTTCCAACTTTTGTGTTGCCTTTTTACGCTATTGTCTCCATAATAAAGATCTTGAATTCGACTTTTATCCTACTAAACATTGTTGCTTTGTAATAATTAATAATTGAGTGAATTGTAAATCGACATCGGAGCGCATATATATATAGCGCATTATTATCGTTTTTGCTTTAAATATAATTAACTTTGATAAATGGCAATTGCAATTTTTCTTGTCGATCTCTATTGTTTGAGGTCGATTCAGTTGAGCATTTGATTTTATTTATTGCAGACGTATTGTGTAGCGCCTTTTTACTGCTACTATTACTACCACTCATCTATTGATTCATTCCTACTTCTATGTGATGTATCTTTCGTAGTATTTATAAATCATATTCTTTTAGATTCTCATCTTGTTTATCCTTTATTATCACTAGTATAATTGTTTATAACGCATTTATATTCGTCTGCTGATGTAAAGATTTATTTTACCGTTCATTTATATATATATATATATAATCTATCCTTTCTTGTTTCAGTTCCCACTATATATACACATACAATCACATTGGAAATAAAATCTTCATTTACCATAACACATAATAAAAGTTTTAATAGAACAGTCATGGTCATGAGGTGTAATATAAGTCTTACTTAGAATAAACCCAACTTAATTGTGTATAGCTAATAATTAATATATAGAAAAATTCACATAAAAACTTTTTTGAATAAATTCACACAACTTATTTTGTAGTAACGCATAAATATCGACTAATTTGGAACTGTTAACACTTTCTACCGATTACAATGTTGAGGGAAAGCGTTCTTGTTGATAATCTCTGAACTAATACTATGGTTACTTTTTTTATCGGTAATCTACATTTACTGCCTGATTTATAGTGGGAGTTATATGATTGCCGATTATTTATTGTGTCACACAAATTGGTCATTAGATCGAAACTAAACCGATACGCTATTAACAGATACCAATGACGTTTTATGGATTTATTGACAGAGTTTGATCATTAGGCTGGGTAAGACAATAATTCAATGATAATACATACAATGACTTCTTAGTTACCAACGGAATTATTATGTTAGATCAGCTAGTTGGATATATACAGCGAAGTTATAATAAAAATGGTATCTTTTTTTACTGGAATTCATGGTTAAGTCACTTATCGCTCCTGCTATAGAATTATTTTTACATGATTGAATATCACAATAATGTAGGTATTCACTATGTTCATTCTTTGCCAATGAGACTAATGATTGAAATATCAATTTATAACGGTTATTAGTACTAGAAAACTTCCTTATTTCCGGACAATATGCCAGAATAATGTACTGGTATCTCACTAAGTCTTAAAGTCTCTAGTAATAGTTGAAGTAAACATAATCCTAACTTCAAATAACCATAAACTTGACTTAAAAATTACAATAGATATAGTTTGTTGTTGTAAATTATTCTTTGTTAGTCGTTTATTAAATTGATCGTATTGACACTTTACATAATTTCTACTTATGGGCGTTTTTGAAAACTTCAAACAACACGTTCATACCAAGTGCACTAATTGGTGAAAAATAAACAAAACAGAATGCCTATCTTCAATGCCATTCCTAGTTAACATTTGTACTGTCATAGTATAACTTCCCACTCAATCCCAGGCAAGAAATCATCGAGGCACAAATAAACATGTGGTGTAGAATTATGCTTCCAAAATGTATGTACTCAGATGTCTACACAGACCCAATAAATTGTTAGGCAGGGTCATTAAAAACCTACAATTTTTTTTTACTTTGTCTTGGGAATTAGATTACTAGACTCAATTGATTGAGGTTTTGCATGATGAACATTAATAACAGTCAGCCGATCCAATGTAACAGATAATCAACTGAAGCTTGCGAGATCTATCATAATTGCCTATCAATTTCATTTTCCTCAGTTATTATATATAATTCAAGAAAAATCTTGTCTGGGTTTCGATCCCGTCTCTTTCATATAGGAGAAGCCATATGGGTCCGAACCTATAACCCTAGCGTATGTGTTCAGAAGGAATTTGTCGGATATGACACAGTAAAAGATTTTACTATTTTTTTCACATCCTGTATTTGTTTGTTTTTCTTCACTTACTTCCCTTTATATTCTTCATAAAGGTTTTTATCCTTTTTCAGTGTATTCATATTACTGTGTTTCACTGAAAAAGAGGTTTTAATAAATATTAAATTTCCGTCCTTCATAAATAATACTTATCTTTTGAAATCAGACGTCATTATGCAAAAGTATAATATGGCTTCATATTCCATCTTCTGTTCAATATATTTTCGTTAGTGAAATTAGAACACGTTATAAAAACAAACTACAAATGAGACAAGTAATTAATTTTGGACCGTCGATACTAATACGCGTTTTTGTATTTTCTTAAAGCAAATAATTTCGCAAATTCAGGTTAGTTTGGTAACCAAGAAACTCTCCTTAGCCTTAGGTCTGATTTCATTATGGACGAATGACGAATTAGCCATGAACATAAATCGTCTGTTTGATTTCCCATATTCTACTTAAGCTAACTCCGTTTTGGTGACGGTAGTAATAAACATCTAAATACGAGTCAAGTTGGGAGCATTTATTCCAGGCACTCGTTGACTCAGACAGTAAAATCAAGCGGAGAAGGTAGATATCCCTACTCCACTTGATAAAACGTGACTCACTGCTTAGAGCTGGACAGAAAAATAAGCTTATATGTAGTGAAAAGAGTAAGTGATAAACACACACGCTTAAATAAAATCAGTCAAGGTTATGAGCGAATAGCTAGCAAGGTCAAGATATGTTTGGACACCAACTCGAAAATAATAGATTAATTGGTCTGTTCAAAAGCCCATGTAGGCGTGACATCGTGCTGGTTACTATGCTCCCCATAGCTGTTCATTTCTGTTCCATGTATCTTAGTCATATGCTTATTATTGATCAACTTCCATATAAATATCTGCGAAATCTATTGTGAAGCCATGATTCGTGGGATCATCTAAGTCAGGAATTATGGATTTAACAGTAATATTGAGTGGGAATCATATTAAATACTGGAGTCTAAAATATGTCATTTAGCCCTGACTTGGCGGTCTATAGTTATCGTCGTGATAACGAGCCGTGACGGCCCAGGATTTGATGCACTCAGATATGGATGTTGGATATTGTTGAAAGGTTTCGAACTGGGATGAAACGGCCATCTAGTACCACTTGATTCACCAAATAGTGTCGTTTTGTGATGGAACACATCTTCAAAACGATTTCTTATGAATATGGTTTGAAGTAGTTTTTTCGGTTGCTTTGTTTCTCAGTGAGTGGAGAAATTAAAATCTACTAGGTCTTCGAAACGACATCGCTTCGAGTAATAAACAGTGAGTTTGCTCCTTATTATATATTATAAACTGTGTGCCGTTAATTTCATATCACATCACACCCATATATTTGCTATTTTGTGGTAAAATAGACTTACGCCTATTACCCTTTGTGGAGGCGCACAGGCCGCCCACCAGCATTCTTCATCGAACTCTGTCCTGGGCAATGATTTCCATTTGTTATACATCCTTTTTATGTCGGGCTCCAATTCCCTGCATAATTTGTTCATTAGTCTTCCTCCTTTCATTTTGACTTCAGGAATACAGGTTAGGGCTTGCCTCAGGATTTATTTTGATGATTTCCGTAATGCATTTCTTATCCACATCCAGAGTCTATTACTAATTTCCTCCTCTGGCAGATAATTTTTCCATTCCCATAATAGGTTGTTGCTGATGGTGTCCGGAGTAAAAGACATCAGTGTCGTAATCAGTTAACCAGCTCATTGCTAGACGTCCTAATTAAATCCCTGACATTTAGATCATTACTACTTCTTGTAATGTGATTGATATTACTTCCATAAAAATACGAATTTCTCCCAATTATAGTTCCCCTGCTACGTTAACGACAGTACGTTAAACCAATTACTGGTAATTAACATTCAAATAATAAGTCGGACTAGATTGAAAAAACTGTTATAAAATACCAGTTACTTACCAGTAGTATGGTTATGTAAACGACATATTTCTGAGTGGGGTTACTAAAATTGATTTGTGAATACAGACCGAACAAATTACGTTAAAAACAATGTTATCCATCCAAAGGGGTTATAATTGTTGTCAATAAAAATGTACTAGAAAAATAACCAGATTATAATCTTCTTATTGTTCTTTCCTGTATATCACTTAATGACCATTAAGCATTAGACTATGGTAATGAAACTAATCATAGTTTTACCTATTTGTATCTTTTATCAAAAATATTGATTAGCCTTCTTGTTTCATATAAATATATCTGCAGTTCCTATGTATCTCCTGATGAAAATCAATTGCCAATTTTTTCAGTTTAATTGTATGCACAAAGAGATCATAAATATAAACTTAGGATGTTGAGAAAAATTGGAACAGATTTGTGGTTGTGAATGTTATGTATTTCTCAATGACTTTAGTAGAAATATTCAGGTTTTAATTACAGTTTTGAGGATATATAGATAATTAATACAGGAAATGAATTATTTCCATCTCATTAGTCAGATAAATGCGTTCTCAACTTAATTGTACATTTCCTAACTATTTTTTGTAAATCTCCTGTTTAAAAACCTATAGATGTGTGTCTTTTATCATATGGCATCCATGTTTTGTTACATTTTTCTCAGGAAAACCGGTCATTATTTAAATGGCGCTTAGTATAGTCTTGAGCGTCTGAAAAGAGGTTATTTTCATGAAACTATCACTTCATAAGTTCACTTAATCCTAGCATCTTGTAATTAACTGAGATTTTTATTAGCCTTACTATTAGTTCAAGTAATTCGAGGTGGTCGGTATTCAATATGATCCTCAAAATTCGTATACAGTTCGTCCTGATAACCGTCACTAGATAACGCTTCGACGGTGTATTAATCAGAAGGCGAATACGAAGTGTTGATTACGTTTATTATTGCACCAAAATTACAGCATGAAAGAGTAGTGCCGAAAAGCAAGCAAGTGACTGCGCAAGTCGAATGAGCGAGTCAATGAACAGGATTAAAATGTACTTATATATACATAGTGAAATGATTGAATCAATTAAGCGACTAATAGTAAGGCTAGCAGAATGAATATGTGCGTAGGCAGTAAGCAATGTTCAAACCAACATATTCATGCAAGTGCAATAATAATAAAAGTATAATGGTATGTATAAGTTTTTATTGTACGAATGACTGTCGGTTAAATAAATTGAGAAAAAGGCTTAACCAAATTATATGTGAACAAACTCAATTGCACGTGAGCTGCTATAACTTTAGCGAGAAGACAACTATAAGAAGTAAATCCAATTTCTTCTGTGTCCAGTTGTATGTTGGAATCGTTGTGGGATTGAATGATAAGAATCTTGGTTAAATGGATTTTTCAATGATGATTACCTTTCCTTATATGACTAGAATGATTTTTGCCAAGATCGTTCCGACGATGCGAACACGCTTTTGTTGGGTTGTGTTATTTGTTATAACTAGTGCCCTATTAATATGTAACGTAATGATACCACCAATTAGAGAACAGTGATTTATCGACCGGACCAATGACGCATAACCCTGTACGAGCAGTTTAGAGTAGTTATCGGTCCTGCTTCTTGCCTAGCCCTGCCTATTAAGTACAGAAAACCAATTTCAGCTCCCGCGATACGAATCATGCATTTCAAACATACTTCGTTTATATACAAATCAATCAGACCACATCGCACCATAAAGTAGGAAATAACATTCGTACAAGATATAGCCAAATGTGACTGTGAATGTGAGGGACTGTAATTATTGGACTGGGTATAACTCAAGAACAGTAAATGGTATAATAATAGTCTATGGGTAGAAATAAAGCTTTTAATAAGAGGAACATGAATATTCATAGTTTAGCTACTTAATAATTATACAATAAAAATATATGTGTCGTATTGATCCATAAATAGTTTTTAAAAATTACCATTCATAATTTTCGCAGGGATATAACAATATCATTTTGGATTCTATTTGTACGTCAATTTCATTAAACAGGAAAATCACACCTTTTTTCCTTTCTTTTGAGGACAGTGCATTGGCTAAGGTAGGAAGGTTGAATCGAGCGTTCAGGCGCTTATTCAGAGCAACATAAAATTCACAGAAGCTGTGCTCAGAGTAACGAAAACGTATAATTTAAAGGGGGTTACTCTATTTTACGTTGTGCATTTCCTCTGTTCCTTAGAAGTGTCTAATGGTTGCAAAAAAGGTATCACCAAATGGTTGAAGACGTTTCTAACACTCAAGATATATTGGGCTTACGAAGACGTGTTGTCTGCGTTCTTGTCAATGTATTAAAATGACTTATTCACCATCACAGACAGAACCATCAGGTTTCCAGAAAATATCTTTTCTGAATGTAACTATACCGGTAGGCATACAATCCTCACAGACGTCATGGAATATGGCAGTAGTTTCTGGTTCGAAATGCAGTCACTATGTCAGCAACACGTACGCCATTCAAAATATTTACACTGTTTGCCTCATAAGCCTGTGCGAAAGACAGTGGGCATTGTCTGTACTCTACATGTATTCGTGGGTTCAAGACGTTCGCGACACACTTCGTGCCTTGTAACCAACGCCAATGGATGTAATACGGGGTTTGAATAACCTGGTAACTAATCACCAACATTCTTAACATATTACTATATCTAGTGTCCGGTTCCATGCTTTAGCTCTCCGATCCTGGTCCCGGTGTTCTCTCAATATCCACACAACTCTATGAGTCGCCCTCACTGTCCGGCTATTTTTACCCCAACCGCTGAAAAGCCAGACATACCGAACAACAATGAAGTAATTCAAAATGTAGACCTGGATGCGTCCATCTCAAACGCGGGCCATGATGACATTAACATAGTAAATATTGAAATTAATGAGCTAGTTTAAATTCTAGAACCCTATGAAGAGTCCGGTCATGATGACAATGACTTCTGCGTGGGATGTCATTTATTTCAACCACCGACTGAAAAATAATATCCTGACAATTAACCTGGGTATTCATGTTACATCTTGAATTTGATCTAGTCCGTTATTGTAGTACGGTCGATTGATCCACCTGTACCTTATAACCCAAATAACAAGAGAACCAAATTTCAGTTCGGGTACTAAAGTTTATCAGTAAATTACAAGTAACTAGCCCAAATATATTATTCTAAAAATAATTAGAGCGTCTAAACAACAGGCCTTTAGTTTTTAGGTTGTCAGTGTGAAACTTCATAAATTACGAACTTAGAAAGCGTGAAACCGAAAATCTTCATGGTCAATGCTATAAACAAAGGAGTTCAAAATTTGAGTAACACAGATACACACGAAACGCAGTAAAGTTAATGATGGTCAATATGATAGTTTTTAATCAGTCAAACACTTCAGTTCTCCCAGTAACAGTTCACGATGTGGTACGTTTAGTCATTATGTCTGTTCAGTACGACCAGTCAATAGGGAACTACTGTGTGTGCAATGTCATAGTAATGATATTTGATTGACAAACCTGTAAGTAGTGTGTAAATTCATTTTGATATGCTGATGTGAATTTATTTCTTCATCTGAGCTGAATAAAAAAATGACTATTCACACATGTTGAGTGAAATTTTATTTTTTGATTTGTTTCAGATACGGTGTAGATTAACGAAAGGAAGTTCCTTCCATACTTCTGATTACAGTGCATTAGTAGTAAAATCGTGATTACTTATAAACTGAAAATAAACTAGAGAAGCTGTGTAATAAGTTAGAAAATATCTACCAGGTTTACTTAAGTTCGACGTTAGCATCAATGAAAGTAATAGATTAGGAATACATGTCAATAGGTATTTACAAAGTGGAGTTAGATGAAGATGTTAAAGGTAATCACTCTTGTTGGTCAACTCTGGTCAAACAATCAGAACAAACATTTTATGACGAAATGCAATCGCAGAACATCTATATATTTTGTAATAGTAGATAAGATATTGATAAAATAGGGAACAAACGTATCCGTTCAGTGTATATTTCCAAATATATGTCTATGGGAAACATGATTTTCACTGGAATTTCACATACGTATTTGAAAATCTCATTGTAAAATGTGATCGATAGACGAAACCACCAATAATAAAGTGAAACGCCCACCACCACATCAACTCCCTTTGACCTTGTACGACTGTATCTCTTTATTAACCAATCACATTTTGATGTTCATTGTAAAACGATATTTGCTTGTTGACTCATTTTTCCTATTCTCTGGCTACTGTTCGGTATGTTATTTGTCTCTGATTTTCCCTGTATTAATAGACCGTACTGTTTGTTTGTACACTAACGATGTTAATTTATGTTTTAGAAACAGATAAAGTTTATCTAGCCAAATAGCTTGCTTGTTCTGACTTTGGCCAAACCAAGACTCTGTATTCGACGGTCTAGAGAATAGTTCAGAATTAAACCTGTAGGAAATTGCTTCCTACGAAGTTTCGAACAGTATTTTCGATATACCTACTGAAATGACTTCCAATAAATACTACGATTCCGATGAGATTCCAGAGTTATCACCCCATCATTTGGAAGTTTATGACGAGGATCAACCTGAAAAGAACGAACTTAAAAACAATAGCATGATAGAACTAGAGTTAGCTAGGTTGCGCATAACCCAGTTAGAAAAGGAAATTGAACTAGAAAAGTTAAGCCTCCAGAAATGTGAAGGTTCCGGCCAATTAGTAAGCAACAGTGAGAATACAATATTAAAAAATCTGTATTTGCCAAAAAGAGAAGTCTTGAGATTCGATGGTACACCGACAAATTATTGGAATTTCATTAGAAATTTCGAAGAATGCATTGGGAGTGAGAATATTGGATTTAGAGCCAAGCTAAATTACTTGATTCAATATGGTGACGGAGAAGCGAAAGCCGCTATCCTTCATTGTACTATACTAAAACCAGAGATAGGTTACCATCAAGCCCTAAAGCTTTTAGAGGAAATGGTTTGGCCAAAAACACGTCGTAGCACGCACGTTTATCGATAACTTGTTAAACTTTCCCAATATAAGGAGGAATCAACCAGGTGGGTTGAGAAGACTATCTCGGAAAATGCAAGCATGTAGTTTGACTCTCGAACAGATGAATTACGTTTCTGATTTGAACTCTTCTAGAACTATTGAAACTATGGTTCTAAAATTACCAACGCACATTCAACAAGAGTGGCTAAAGGTAGCCTATATGATTATCAGAGGAGACCGAGAGCCTCTGTTCACTGATCTTGTTGAGTTTGTAAAGGAGCAAGCTGATATAGCTAATACTAGATACGGCCTACTCGTCAACCGCGGTACTAATAGTGACAATAGAGATGTTGGCGTTTTAAAAAGGAAAATTAGTACAGATTACAATGCAGCAAGAATATCTTATGCGAGTGCTAGTGATGATAATGCCCTCTTACGCAGTTCATCTTGTTTGGAGTGCTCCAGTAATCATTCTTTAGATCAATGTCAGAAATTTAAAGACAAGAATGTTAGAGAAAGGAAGGAATTCGTTCATAGACACAAGTTGTGTAATGTATGTCTGAAGGCAAACCACGTAGCAAAAAACTGTCGATCGCCGAGGTCGTGTGCTGTCGAAGGGTGTGGCTGGAAACACAATACCCTGTTACACGAGTTGCGGGAAGAACCAAGAAATACTAATATTGATGCACACATTAACACCCAGCTATGTACGGAGAAAAGTGTTGAGCGTGTACAGAAACAAGCATCATTTGCAATAGTGCCTGTATTGGTAAGAAATGGAGAAAAGGCAGCACAGACTTGCGCTTTCTTAGATAGTGGGTCGGATGCCTCTCTTATTACAGAAGATCTAGCTAAAAGGTTGAATTTAGAAGGAGAGCCTAAGACGATTTCGTTGAAAACGTTGGATAACCATTCCACAATTCAGTGTATAAAGGTTCAACTAGAGGTTTCCTCCTTAGACTCGTCTTCGTCATTTAGAATCCCAAACGTATGAACAGTCGAGAGATTAGCTATGTTGCGTAGGACAGTACCAACGGCATCTCAATTGGCATCCTGGACGCATTTAAAGGACATAAACTTTCCGAGAGTAGAAGATGAGAACGTCAACCTGTTGATCGGGTGCAACACATCGAGTGTACACGAGACGAAAGAGATAAGAACTGGAAAGTCGGATGAACCATCCGTTGTGAGGACTCTCTTAGGTTGGACGCAGTTCGGTTCCCATGGGGAGCCCTGTGAAAACAATCGTGTGGCCAATCACATCTCAGCTAAAGAAAAATTAGAGGATAAGTTTGAACAGTTGTACTCAACAGAATTCAAAGATCCGTTAAGTCGTACGATATCGAAGTCTGTAGAAGATCGTGTAGCACTCAGTGTTATATCAGGTTCAGTGCAAAGGTTGAACAGGAATTATCAAATAGCTTTGACTTCGAGACACAAACACAAGTAATCTAATAACAGGAAATTAGCAGAACGTAGACTTAGCTGCTTAAAAGGTCGACTTATTCGGGATAAGAAATTGTGCCAAGACTATGTGGACTCCATGACTCGGTACATAGAACGAGATTACGCTGTAAAGGTAAACGATAACCACTCTGATGGACGAATTTGGTATCTTCCTCATCATTCAGTCTTCCACCCCAAGAAGCCTAACAAATTAAGAATAGTGTTCGATTGCGCAGCTCAGTATGTTGGAACGTCTCTAAACAAGAACCTTTATTCTGGGCCTGATTTAGTCAATAACCTAGTAGATGTTTTCACCAGGTTCCGGCAACGACCAGTAGGTCTTACGGCGGACATTGAAGCCATGTTCAATCAAGTAATAGTTCCGCCGCATGATCGAGATGTTCTTAGGTATTTGTGGTGGCCAGGTGGAGACTTAGAAAAGGAACCCGAGATCTATAGGATGAAAGTTCATCTGTTCGGGGCAACTTCATCGCCATGTTTGCCTTGCAGAAAACGATTTCTGATAATCAAGATAAATTTCCCAAGGCAGTCACGCGAGCAGCTAAAGAGCAATTCTATGTGGACGATTTATTGATAAGTGTGGATACTATAGAAGAAGCCAAACTGACATATTCACACTTCAAAAGACTCCTAAGTTTGGGAGGATTTAACTTAACTAAGTGGACTAGTAATAGCGCTGAAGTGCTGGAGTTCATTCCAGAAGAAGACCGTGTTGAAGGAAACATTATTGTTTGCGAATCCAATGAGACAAGTAAACGAACTCTGGAAATAGAGTGGAACGTCCGAACAGACGAGTTATGTTTCAAAGTTCATGAATTTCACGGAAACCCAACCAGAAGAAATATTTTATCGTACGTAGCATCTATCTTTGATACAATTGGGTTTGCAGCCCCAATAATATTACCAGCTAAAGTGGTCTTACAAGATACTTGTCGTCAGAAACTAGACTGGGATGCCGAGTTACCCATAGATTGTCAAGCAAAGTGGAATATTTGGTGTAGACATATAAAAGGGTTAGACTACTTAAGAATACCAAGGTGTTTGAAACCAGGGTTTGAACCGTCATCTGCACAAATTCGTTGTTTTGCCGACGCCTCCGAGCTTGCGTATGGTGTTGTTGCGTATATTCGTTATGAAGGTGTTTCTGGTCAGATCCATTGTTCGTTACTGCTAGCTAAGTCTAGGGTTGCTCCTCTAAAACTTGTTACCATACCCAGAATGGAATTAACGGCCTGCGTTCTGTGTGCCAAGATTGGAAGGCACGTAAGGGAACAGTTGAGCATCCCCATTTCGTCAGTCATTTATTGGACCGACTCGACAGTTGTGCTTCACTGTATAAAAAATACGACTAAAAGGTTTGAAAGGTTTGTGAGTAACAGGTTAGAAACTATACAGGAGCTGTCTACGCCGAACCAGTGGAGATATGTGAAAAGCAAATTGAATCCTGCGGATCATGCGTCACGTGGATTATCACTAAATGATAAGGCTTAGTTAAGGGAGTGGTTACAAGGACCAGGATTCTTGTGGGAGGAAGAAGGCAAATGGCCTAGCCTAGAAAAGGTTGAGAACACTGTAGCCCATGTATTGACAGAAGATTTCAAACCCCCAAGATGCAATGATGAGTTTCTAAATCGATTTCGTACGTGTAAGTCGTGGTCTAGGCTTCTAAGGGTATTTTCATACTGCAGACGATTTGTCAATAATATGTTAAGCAAGAGGAATGGAAGTCATCTTACCTTAGGTGCTGAGGATATCGAAAATTCGAAGAGCGACATAATTATACTAGTCCAAAGTATCGCGTTCCCGGACGAGAAAAGAATCTTAAGTAGTTCACCGTTAATGCTCGGAGATAACGCTTCGAGACAACAAGAAAGTCAGGAAACAATGAACGAGATGGTCAGGAGGAAAAATTTAATCCGTCAAAGTTCTATAAGAAACCTCAACCCCTTTATATTAGGAGGCAAAATCCGCGTGGGAGGACGTTTGCAGCTAGCATGTTTACCCTTTGAAACTAAATATCCGATTATTCTCCCTAATGATCATTTTGTTACAGATATGATTATAATGCATCATCATTCGATTAACGCACACGTCGGAGTTACTCAAACTCTGAGTAGTATTCGTGAAGAGTATTGGATTGTTAGAGGATATTCTACTGTTCGGAAGGTTCTTAAACGATGCTACTTATGTAGAAGACTTTACTATATGCCATGCTCCCAAATAATGGCACCGTTATAGGAATACCGAGTCGGACTCATTCACCACGCTTTAGTCAAGTAGGTGTGGATTACTTCGGACCATTCTATGCCAAACGAGGTAGAGTTGTCGAGAAACGTTATGGCTGTTTATTCACCTGCTTATCTATTAGAGCTGTTCACATTGAAATGGCCTACTCTTTAGATACGGATTCATTTCTGTGTGCATTATCAAGATTTATTGCCAGAAGAGGATGTCCAAAGCGTATTTTTAGTGATAACGGCACATACTTCCGAGGTGCAGATGCCAGTTTGAGACAGATTATACGTTCCTGGAATACTAACAAAATAGAAAACCACCATAAAGAACGAGAATGTGAGTGGCGTTTCAACCACCTAGGGCAAGTCATCGAGGTGGTGTGTGGGAACGCATCATAAGATCTACTAGAAGAGTCTTAAGAGTGCTTTTATTCCAAAACGTGTTGACCGATGAAACTCTGCAAACCTTCTTACCTGAGGCGGAATGGATACTGAACGACAAACCTCTGGTTAAGATGACAGATGACCCTGGTACCCTAGAAGCTCTTACTCCGAACAAGTTGTTGATTAATAAAAAATTATCATTCGACGATGCTTCGGTGGATAAGACGTTTTTATACAACAAAAGATGGAAAGAAGCTCAAAGACTAACCACCGCATTCTGGAATAGATGGATGGAAGAATACTTGCCGACTCTCCAAACAAGAGACAGATGGTTGGACGTACACAAGAATTTACAACCGGGTGACTTAGTCCTCGTTAGTAACGTCAAAATGAATGAAGGTCTATGGCCTAAAGCTATTGTCGAGCAAGTAAGCTATGGCTTGGACGGACGAGTCCGCACGGCAAAGTCGAGAACTTCGAGCGAAGAAATCGTCAGAGGTGTGCGAAGCCTATGCCTGCTAGAAAAAGCCGGTTGTATGACGGCGACGACGACCCTGGAAAATGGACGTGGTGCGCGTTTCGGGGAGAATGTAAAATGTGATCGATAGACGAAACCACCAATAATAAAGTGAAACGCCCACCACCACATCAACTCCCTTTGACCTTGTACGACTGTATCTCTTTATTAACCAATCACATTTTGATGTTCATTGTAAAACGATATTTGCTTGTTGACTCATTTTTCCTATTCTCTGGCTACTGTTCGGTATGTTATTTGTCTCTGATTTTCCCTGTATTAATAGACCGTACTGTTTGTTTGTACACTAACGATGTTAATTTATGTTTTAGAAACAGATAAAGTTTATCTAGCCAAATAGCTTGCTTGTTCTGACTTTGGCCAAACCAAGACTCTGTATTCGACGGTCTAGAGAATGGTTCAGA